TTGGCGGCCCAGACGGTAGGTCGGCGCCGGAGAGCGCGCTCTGCATCTTGATTATCTCGGGCCTTGTAAGGGTCACCTCCTATGAAAACACCTGGAAAATCAATCTGCGTCCAGTGCAGCGTGCGGGGACGCCTGGAGGGCTGGGCACCCCCGCGTGGGGCACCCCGGCTGCCGCCGCCGGGTGGGGTGCAGCCTGAGGTCATGTCCTGAGGCCACTGAAGGCGGATGGCTCCGCTGAGGACCCCTGGCCGGTAGAAACCCTCATGGCTGTGTGCCAAACTGCCCCGCAAAACTTCGTTTGCAGGCGTAACTCAACAATAAACTGAATTGGTAAAGCTGAACTTAACTAAATAGCTTTTGTTGACAAGTCGATTGTTATTAATTCTTAATGTTTCATCCAAGGTGAGAATCGTTATCGCGGTTTTGCAGGTGGAAGAGAGTTGGCACCAGAAAAGCTTTTCCCTTAGACTCACACAGAAACATGGGGTGGCAGAGCCACAAATTAAGGCCTAGCGTCGCACCTCCTCAGCTGCGTCCACGTTACAAAACAAACGGCTAGTTGCTTTCATGTGACTCATAAAAGGATCGAATAAACCAATATTCTGTGGACCTGAAGCGTTAAGCCCTAATAAGCTTCAGGGTCAGCTCAGCCACCTTTTGAAGGAAAGGGAGGAGTAAAAACCGGGAAAGAATGGGCAGGCAATGTTTGTGTTCCTGTTCAGTTTCTCACTGCCCTGTTGATGATGTTCCTTTCAAAACACCCAGAGCTGCTGTCTCCCCTTACCTACCTCTGCAGTCTGCAGTACACTGTGGTGTCCTTTCCTCCAGGTGCACTTTACTAGCGTTGTTATGGGAAAAGCTGTTGTTCAATTGTCTGTCACTCCTGCCCCCAGACGAACAACTCTTCGTGAGAGAGGACAGGACTAGAAAACCAGTGAGATGCTCCATAGCTGAACTGTCACTGGGGGAAAGGCACACTTGGACCCCCCATCCCCCACTATACTAGGAACATGAGTGCCACAGTTTGTAAACCCCCGGCCATGGTAGTAGTAGGGGGCAGCCTTCCTTAGGCCTTAGTGGACTGGGTTGGGGTGGGGCCGGGTGGTTCTCTTTAGAAAAAAGAGCCATCTTTTGGACAGCTTGGGAGACATGTTGGAATGTAAGGTATTCTGGCACTTGTAGTTTGCCCATAAAATGCTAAAGAGTTCGGGACCCCTGATGTCTGACATAACACTTGTCTATTTGAGCATGATGGGAGGCGGAGGTATTTGAAGAGAATCAGAAGGTCAAGGCTTGTGTCAGTGGCACAGAGTTTGAGACCAGCCTGGGCTTTTGAGACCGCCTGAGATGGCGTCACCTGTGCCAGGGGTTTGTTCATCTTGCAGTTTTCTTCCATTGGCTCCATACAGATATTACCAAGAAAACCAGATGGCATCTGGAGATTTCTGCGCACCTGGAGAAGGGGTAGAGATACTACAGCAAGGTAAGGGTCGATGTCTGCGGAAGGCCTGGTGGCTTTTCCAGGGGTCTGTCTGGGATCCCTCCTGGGATGAAAAGGGCTCACCTCCGTTAGTGGGAAAGAGGAATCCGGAGTTCCTGGAGGACTCTGCTTGAAAAGCAGGTTGGGCCAACTGTTCATGCGGATTCAGTGTCCACTTGTGCAAAGATGCTGCCTGCCATGCTGTATTGGCAATCTGTTGCCAAGATAAAGGTGGCTGGCCTGCCCTTTAACGGCTTCTTTCCTACCTGTGTTTTCATGTTTCTCTTGTAGCCCAGGCTGGCCTTGAATTTCTGATTCTCCTGCCCCTACCTCACAGTTCAGAGATTAAGTGTGCACTGCCACACCCAAGTTCATACCCAAAAATGAAAATAAAAGATTTCTCATTCTCTGAGATGATTTTGACTATAATAATCCAAAGAGTAAACATCTTCGTGTTTGGTAGGTAACGGTACAAGACCTCTTGAGGAAGCCCCTGGGAGAGAGATGGAAAAGAAGGGGCCTTGAGCAGATGGGGTAACTGGAGGACACTGACCTGTGGGGGTTCTCCCATGCCTGTGCTGACTTGTGCCCACATGGGTTACTCAGCTCCGCTTATAAGGACAGAGTTTTAAATGGTCAGTTAGTTTCTTCTACCTTTGCTCACAAGTGAAGGCTCATCCACAGTTGGAATTTGCCATGCCTGTTTCCCTCTCTTCCTCAAGAACTCTAATGATTCTGGCCAGGCTTGGTGTTGCATGCCTGTAATCCCAGCATTTAGGTGGATGAGGCAGGAGGATCACAAATTCAGAGCCAGCCTGGGGCTTACATAGAAAATTAAGGCGCGGGGGGGTAAAAAAAAAAAAAAAAAAAAAAAAAAAAAAAAAAAAAAAAAAAAAGAAATTCTAGTAACTTTGATTGAATGAAGTATTTTAGTTACTGGTGATTCATACCAAAAGGGGGTGTCTCCTCCCCTTCCCTGCCTCTCTCCCTGCCTCCTTCCCTCCCTCCTTTGGCACTGGGAGGCAAACCAAGTCCGCAGCAAGCACTTGCTCTACCTTCTACTCCTTGCATTCCATTTACCAAGGCCTTCCTTATCTTCGGAATGTGGCTCTAGCTGATGGGAGAACCCTTGCTTAACATGTTCAAACCCCTGGCAACACACACCCTACTTTGTTAGACATTCATCTATAAAGTAGATAGATACTTGCTAATTTGAGTATCTTTTCCGGTTTATTTGTAATTTGTATTTTGAGGCAGGTTCTCACAGTGTAACAGGCACCTCTGGAAATCACACAGTCCAAGCTGGCCTCCTGATTCTTCTCCTGCCTGGATCTCTCTGATGCTGAGATTCCAAGTGTGGGCTACCACTATCCACATATTTGCTGTTTGTATTTATTTATTTATTTATTTGTGTGAGCACCGAAGTGTGGCGATCAGCGACACTTTTCAGAAGTTCATGCTGGAGAGATGACTCAGCTGCTCTTCCAGAGGTCCTGAGTTCAATTCCCAGCAACCACATGGTGGCTCACAACCATCTATAATGAGATCTGGTGCCCTCTTCTGGCATGTAGGCAGAACACTGTATACATAATAAATAAATAAATCTAAAAAAAAGAAAGAAAGAAAAGAAAACTAAACGTCACCATTACAATTCTTAAGAAAAAGAAGAGGTTCATGCTCTCATTCCTCCATGTGGTTTCTGGGGAGTGGACTCAGGTCAGCAGGCTTGGTGACAAGTACCGGTCCAGTTGAGCCATCTAGACAGCAACTATCTGTTTTGACACTATCTCACTGTGTTCTCAGGCTGATTCTAGACTCTTGGGTTTAAAGGGCCCTCCTACCTTAGTTTCCTGAGTAGGGGCTACAGGTGTATGCCATTGCCCCTGGCTTTATTTTTCCATTTAAATTGCATTATATTTAGAGATTTTTCCTACTCAAAACCAGGGTTGTCTCTTTTTGTTTGTTTCAGAAGTGAGTGATGTTATGCCCAATTATATAAAGCAAGGAGTCCATGTGTTTGTTGTCATTTTTTAAGTGTGTGACAAGCAGTTTCCTCCTTGTGCCCTGACTGAAGAGGACCTGATCCAGAACCCGCATTTCAGCAAGCTGTTGCTTAGTCTCTCACAGCATCTGGATGAAAGTGGCTTAAGCCTCACCCTGGCAAAAGAGCAGGCTCAGGTAAGGCCCTGGGAGAAGGGGTGGCAGGAGGAAGGTAAAGTCCTTGAGAGAGAAGAGTCTCAGACAGGGGTTTTGTTTTGTTTTGAGGCATGGAATGAAGTTCGGCTGCATAAGACAGCATGGCTGAGGTACGAAATCTTACAGAGAGTCATCCAAGAGCTGCTTGTGGACTACTATGTGAAGGCACAAGACACAAATCTAACATCGGAAGACAAAAAGGTACAGCCAAAGAAATGGCATAGTGTTGGTTACATTGATAAGAACTATCAGGGTAGCCAGCTGTGGCCGCACGTGACTGTTACCCAGGGCTATGGAAGGAGCTGCAGTGTGGGAATGTGAGGTTAGCCTGGGCAACACAGTGAGACCCTGCAGGGAGGGAGAACAGATGGCAGACACAGGGAGAGGGAGAGGGAGGGAAACCAGTAATCAGTTCCCTCAAGTGGTGACTTGCTTGAGAGCTTTGACAATGTGTGAGAAGAGGTAAAAGAGGTGGGGATGAAGTTCTTTTTGTTTCGTTCTATTGAGACAGGGTGTAACCCTCCCTGTGTAGCCCTGGCTGGCCTGGAACTGGCCATGTAGACCAGGCTAGCCTCAAACTCAGAGAGATCTGCCTGCCTTTGTCTCCTGAGTACTGAGATTAAAGGCCAAGTCAAAAGTTGTTTTCTTTTGTTTGTTTTTTTTTTTTTTTTTTGAGACAGGGTTTCTCTGTGTATCCCTGACTGTAGTAGAACTCACTCTGTAGACCAGGCTAGCCTCAAACTCGTATAGATAGGCCTGGATCCTGAGTGTTAGGATTTTTTGTTTTTGTTTTTTGAGACAGGGTTTCTCTGTATTGCTTTGGAGGCTGTTCTGGAACTAGCTCTTGTAGACCAGGCTGGTCTCAAACTCACAGGGATCCACCTGCCTCTGCCTCCGGAGTGCTAGGACTAAAGGCATGCACCACCACTGCCCGGCTTGAGTGTTAGAATTAAGAGTATGAGCCACCACTGCCCACCTGAGTCAAAAGTTTTATAGTCCTCTTGTGTGTGTGTGTGTGCTTTTTATTCTCAGTTTCATGAGACCCTTGAACAGCGGCTACTTGTAACTGAACTGACACAACTTTCAAGTCCTGGCCAGGAGATGGAGATGCCCTCACTGCTAGGACTTAAGAAGGCCGACCTTCTGGAGCTGATGCCACCTTCACAGGTTGGAAGCATATACAGGATCGAGTTCTTGTATTGCAGTTGTCTGTCTGTCTCTCCATCTTTCTACAGGATCTCATGTATTTATCTCAGGTTGGCCTTGAACTTTGGAGCCTCCTGGTTACACCTCCCAAGTGCTGGGCCTACAGGCGTGCACACCATGCTTGATTTATGAGGTACTGGGCATCAGACCCAAGGCCTCTTGTGTGCTATGCAAACACTGAGCTACATCCCCAGCTAAAATTTTTTTTCTTTTTTTTTCATTTTACTATTATTGTTTTATGTTTTGCCTAATTGTGTATGCACCATGTATATGGAGTGCACATGGGGTCCAGAGAGGGCATCAGGTCCCCTGGAACTGGAGTTAGAAGGTTGAGTCACCATGTGGGTGCTGGGACTTGAACCTGTATCCTCTGGAAGAGCAGCTAGTGCTCTTAATTGCTGGGCCATCTCTCCAGCCCCTAAAATTTTCTTTTTAACTTTTACTGTTTTCCTTTCGTTTCTTTTTTTGAGACAGGGTTTCTCTGTGTAGCCTTGGCTGTCTTAGAACTCACTCTGTAGACCAGGCTGGCTTTGAACTCAGAGATCCACTCTGCCTCCCAAATTCTGGGATTACAGGCATGCGCCACCATTACCCAGCTTTACTGTTTTTTAAAAATTACACACATCATGTGGTCAGACTCAAGAAAAACATTACACACAAGAATGAAAGACCTGAAATACTATGTCTCGAAATGCATTTTGTTTTTGTTTGAAACTAGAACATTTGTGTTATGATTGGATGCACAGGTGCTCCATCACTGCCCTCGTGGGTTTAGCTGGTGTTCCCAGAGTCTGTGACAGACAATTTTAGATGCCCCATTCGCCCAACCCTGGTCGTGTTTCTCAGTCTTGGTGCTCCAGTCACTCGTTTGCTGCTTGGCAGGGCAGCCCAGTTTGCACCAGGCTGTTTTCTGAAGGTGGCGGGCCGCAGAGCCACTGTGGCTACACAGTGTGCATCTTACTGAGATACTTCTCAATACAAAGTCCCCATTGTCATCTTGCTGTGTCACTCAACAGAGACTGAAGAGTGAAATGCAGTGTTATAAACAATTCAGGTTGGTGATGACATACTCCTTGCTCATTCTCTCGAGTTTGAAATATGTGCGTGTTTTGCCTACATGTATGTCTGTGTACCACATGCCTGAGGAGGCTAGAAAAGGGTGTTGCTTTCTCTAGGGCACATTGGCTGACCCGAGCCTGCCGCTACCTCAATTCTGAGGCTGAGGACCAGGAGAGCCTTGGAATCCCACCGCTGCCTCTGCTGCTGCCTCAGCCGCTTCCATGTTTTTAACTAAGCTTCTGTCAGGTGCTGGGGTGAAAACCTGCTAGCACAGAGAGGCAGCTGGCTGACCTTCCTCCTCTGCAGTCATCTCAATGGCTGCACCTTCTAAAACAAAAACTCACTCACCCAGATGCCCCTCCCCTCTACTTCCTGTGTGTCTCGCCAACCTCCCGACTTCCCCTCCCTCTCTATGGTTTTTTCAGTCAACTGATTGCTTGCTCTGCCTTTAACCTATGGTTGATTTTATTTAAATAACGCAACCTCAGGGTTCATAGTGTCCAGATATTCTGCAACACCCTGGAACTGGTGTTATAGCTGTTGTAAGCTGGGAAACAAACCTGGAGAGCAGCCAGAGCTCTCAACCTCTGAGACATCTCTTCCCCCTTTTTAAAACATTTGTGGAAGACAAGGCTTAACTTTGTAGTTGTGGGTGAACTCTCTATGGAGATCATGCTGGCCTAGAACCCACAGGGCTTCACCTGCTGCTGCCTTCTGATTGAATACTGTAAATAAAGGCATACTCTACCCTGTCTGGCCTGTAGGATGTCACTCTGTAGGCCACACTGGCCTCAAACTCATGACCAGAAGTTCATCATCCTTGGCTACTTAGTGAGTTAAGGCCTGCTTGGGCCACATGAGACTGTCTTTAAAACAAAAGGACTCAAATCAACAGATGTAATTCAAGAGTAGAGGCTGAGGCTAGGGAGGTTGTCACTCAAGCTCCAGGGGTTCTGACAGCCACTTCTGGACCCTGTGGGCACTTACACTCACATGTGTACATTCCCACACACAGACGTAAACATGTAAATAAATAAATCTATAAATAGAAATCCTAACACTTGGGAGGCAGATGCAGATAGATCTCTATGAGTTCAAGTCCAACCTGCTCTGTATAGTTAGTTCCAGGCCAGCCGGAGACATGAAACATGGTGCGTGCCACCCTGTCTCAGAAACAAAATGAGTAGAGGCTTATAATCCCAGTGTTTGGGCTGGAGCAGAGGGTTGTGAATTCAAAACCGCCCTGGGTCTATGTAACAAGTCTGTCTATCCCAGAAAACAAACAACAAAGCCAGGTGTGGTGGTGCAAGCCGTTAGTCCCAGCCCTTGGAAAGCAGAGACAGGCAGATCTCTGAATTTGAGGCCAGCCTGCTCTACGGAGTGCCAGGACAGCCAGGGCTCTGTAGATAGACCCCGTTCTCAGAGAACCAAAACCAAACAAACCCAACAACAAAAAGGAGACATAATAAAAAACAAATAAATAAAATGATACCCCTAGTAGCACTCCGAACATTGTCTCGGCACTGGAAGTGTGATAGCTTTGTTGTATCAGCTTGAACCACTCCCAGGGATGGGGAGATAGCTCAGTGGTGGAGCCCATGCCTAGCATACCCAGGGTCCTGTGTTCCATCCCCAGTGTTAAAGAACAGACAGATAGGAGTCCATTGTGTGGATATAGCACAATTTGCTTGCTTAGTGTTAGGATTTATGTTTTGAGACTGGGTCTCATGTGGTCTCTGGCCTTGGTCCTCCAAATGCTGCCATTCCAGGTGCTCTTTGGTTATTTGTGAGGCTGTCTGTGCCCTCAAGTGGTTGTCATTGGAGAGGTCTTCCTGGTGTCAAGGGTCTATGTGCTCTCTAGGACTTTGTGTGGATGAGAGCTCGGCTCCAGCTGGAGGTGGAGGAGCAGCTCAAGAGGAAGTGCTTCACTCTGCTGTGCTACCATGACCCCAGTTCAGGTGAGAGCCACCTATCCTCCCATGTGGCCTTCTGGCTCCTTGTCTAGTCTGCTTTACAGTTTGATGTGGGTTTGAGACAGATCTTTTTTGTTGTTTTTGGTTTTCGAGACAGGGGTTCTCTCTGTAACAGCCCTGGCTGTCCTGGAACTCAGCTCTGGACCAGGCTGGCCTCGGAACTCACAGAGATCCACCTGCCTCTGTCTCCTGAGTGCTGGGATTAAAGGCATGGGCCACCACCGACTGCCTGAAAAAGGCCGTTGTAGGGTGGTATCCATTGGGGTTTCCTGTCCTCCTGTCTCTGCCCAGACACTGACGGGGAAACGCTGAAAGCTGCAAAGGTGTGGAGACTATCGGAGGTCTTGGTGCGAGAGAAGCAGCAGTGTCTGGAGGCCAAGGGCCAGCACAAGGAGCAGCTGGTGCTGCTGGAGAAGAGGAGAGCCACCTACTTCCAGGTCCGGTGGGCAGTGCCTTCCCTCTTTATTTGACCCCAGGACCCCTTCAGGTAAGCCAAGGCTTTCTCAAGGCTCGCTTGTCCTTCCTCCCCGGGTTCAGGTGCTCCTCCGCTGCCTCACCTTGCTGCAAAGACTTCTTCAGGAACACCGGCTGAAGACTCAGTCTGAGCTGGACCGCATCAATGCCCAGTACCTGGAAATCAAGTGCAGTGCTATGATCCTCAAGATGAGGTGAGCTGTGGGCCGGCTGGGTCTGAGGGCTCTGTCTCACCTGCCACTGCTCCTCCGCAGCCAGCACCAGTGGGTCCCAGGTGTCACATGGCAGTGTAATTACTCAAAAGCTTTCAACACTCAAGTGTTTATTTTAGAGCCTTCTGAAATAGGTGCTGTGCTGTGAGGCCAGTTGCTTGGGGGCTCATAGTGTCTGTCTCATCTCTGTATCTTGACTGTGGTTTTCTACTGTGGTTTGTTTTTGTGTTGTTGTTGTTTGTGTTTGTTTTGAGATAGAGTCTCACTGTGTAATCCTGGCTAACTGGCTGTCCTGGAACTCACTAAGTAGGGCCAGGCTGACTTTGAACCCAGAATATCCACCTGCTTCTGCCTATTGAATGCTGGGTTAAAGGTGTGTACCACCACAACAGAGTTAGCTGTTCTTTCTTAAAAATTCTGTTTCTTTCTTTTATGTGTATGATTGCTAGGATTGTATGAATGGACCTCTGGTGGCCACAGAGGTTGTTGGATTCCCTGGAAATGGAGTTACAGGCAGTTGTGAGTTGCTATGTAGGTGCTGGGAATTGAATCTAGATCTTCTAGAAGAGAGCAAATGCTTTTAATCACTGACACTGAGCCATCTTTCCACCTCCCATCTTCTTGGCCATTCTTTTTTTTTTTTTTTTTTTTTTTCCGGGACAGGGTTTCCCTGTGTAACTTGGGAGGCTGTCCTGGAACTAGCTCTTGTAGACCAGGCTGGATTCAAACTCACAGAGATCCGCCTGCCTCTGCCTCCCAAGTGCTGGGACTAAAGGCATGTGTACCACCACCCGGCTTTTCTTGGCCATTCTTAACTGTACTTTAAAAAAAAGGTGTATGAGACTCCTGAATGTGTCTTAACTGTACCTTTTTTTTTTTTTTTTTTTTTTTAAGATTTATTTATTATGTGTGCTGCCTGCCAGAAGAGGGCACCAGATCTCATTACAGATGGTTTTGAGCCACCATGTGGTTGCTGGGAATTGAACTCGGGACCTCTGGAAAAGCAGCCAGTGCTCTTAACCTCTGAGACATCTCTCCAGCCCCCTCTTAGCTGTACTTTAAGAGTGTGTGTGTATGTGTGAGAGTGTGTAAGAAGGGTGTGTGTGTGTGTGTGTGTGTGTGATGGGTGGATGTGTGTGTGGATGTGTGTGTGGATGTGTGTGTGAGTGTGTGAGAGGGGTGTGTGTGTGTGTGTGTGTGTGTGTGTGTGTGTGTGATGCGTGAAGGGTGAATGTGTACATACATGCACCACAGTGCATGTGCAGGTCAGAGGACAACTTTGTGGATCCAGTTTTCATCTTTCACCTTTCCGTGGGTTCCAGGGATTGAACTCAGATTGTTAGGCTAGTGCAGCAAGCCCTTTAATCCACTGAGCCATCTTGCTGGCCTCTAAACTGTTTTTTGGTTTGGGATCTTCCCTGTAACATGTCTTTCTTCCCTCTGTCAGGATGGAGGAGCTGAAGATTTTGTCTGACACGTACAGTGCTGAGAAAGTGGAAGTACACCGTCTCATTAGGTAAGATCCCCAAGAGCTGGACACAGCTGTTCATGGCGTTCCTGTTGACATGTTTCTATACTTGTCTGTTTTCTGAGGACTTACATCATGTCTTCTGTTGAACTTTCTATGTTGGGGCTCTTAGGGACCGTTTGGAGGGAGCCATTCGCCTACAAGAGCAGGACATGGAGAAGTCAAGACTGGTCCTGAAAAACTATGAGGTCCTTGGAGAAGACTTTGAGAACCTAGTGAAGGAATACACCCAGCTCAAACTGGCAGCTGAGAACAAGCGTTGGGCTCTCCAGGAGTTTAGCAAGGCCTAGCCACTAAGTTGAGTGTGGGCAGAGCCAGGAAGCATGGATTCTATATGGCTACCTTCTCTCCCTGCTCAACAGACTACCTCCACTGTAAGGGATATGGGTACATGTGTTTAAAACACTGCAGTGATGATGACAGCCTCCTGGTTTCCTTGTTTACAATGACTGGTTCTTGTCTGGAAAATGTAGCTATCAGATTTATAATATTTCATGCATATCTGCTTGCATCAGCCCTGTGTAATATTTTCTGAATAAAGTAGTAATATTATGTCTTAGGATTTTAGTCATTTTCCTTGGGCAATGATGAAAAAAGAACACTGAAGTGTGTTTGAGTAAGAATGGCCCCCATGGGCCAATATATTTGAGTGTTTAGTCACCAGGGAGTGAACTCTGATAGGATTAGAAGGATTAGGAGGTGTGGCCTTGGAGGAAGTTGTCACAGGGGGTTGGCTTGAAGCTTTAAAGCCCATGCCAGGTCCAGGTTCTTTCTCTGCTTGTGGATCAGGACATGTCTCTCAGCTACTGCTCTAGCACCATGCTTGCCACCATGATGTTAGTGGACCAACCCCCAATTAAATGCTTTCTTTTATAAGAGTTACTGTGGTTGTGGTGGCTTCACAGCAATAGGACAGTGATCAGGACAGTAGGTAAGGCAGAAAAACTCAGTTGTTCCAAAGATAGACCTGAACTTCAGTGCTCTCCAAATAATGGAAGGTAAATGTGCCAGACGGCCCTGGAGTCCTAGAGGCTCCATCCAGGAGAGAGAAAGTGGATTAAATCTGGACCTGTCTACACTCTCCAGAGGAGCTGCAGGTGCTCAGGAAGATTGGAAACTATTTTGTCACTGTGGCTGGCAGTGGGGCAGTTACAATGAAGCAGCCAGATGCAAATGTTGGCTCTGCATGAAGCCATTTCTGTCCCAAACTAATTGGAGAAAGTTTTATCCATAGAAAAATTAAAGCTAGCTGGTTGGTGGTGGTGTACACCTTTAATTCCAGCTCTTGGGAGACAGAGGCAGGTGGATCTCTGTGAGTTCAAGACCAGCCTGGTCTACAGTGAGTTCCAGGACAGCCAAGCCACACACACACACACACACACACACACACACACACACCTGTCTCAAAACAAAACAAAAAAACTATTCTTATTTTCTTACGTTTATGCCTGTTTTGCCTGCATATGTGTTTGTGTATCATGTACATACCTGATGCTGGCAGAGGCCAGAAGTCTGTCTGATCCCCTGAAACTGGACTTATAGACAGCTGTGAGTTGCCATATGGGTGCTGGAAATTGAACCCAGGTCCTCTGGAAGAACAGCCAGTGTTCTTCCACTGAGGCATCTCTTCAGCCCCCTTTTTCCCTTTGCTGTCTCTTTAATAAACAATAAACACCTTTATTATGTGAGCTGTGAATGATGGTTTATTTGCCTTTCTGATCAGGTAGATCCCCAGGTCCTTGCCTTCTAGCACATAGCCCTCTGCTCTGCCACACTGGCCTGGTCTTGAGGCTATACCGGCAAGAAGCCCACCCTACTGGAACTGCTCCTCCAGAAGACTGCTGATTTTGGCGGTCTTTTTCCTCTCATCATATTTCTTTTGAATTTTTTGACCGTTTTTTGTTTAATATTTCTTCCTCCTCGGGAGTCAGCTTGGCCCCCTTCTCGAGGCCCAGGGGCAGTGCATAGTGGGACTCGCACCAGGCCGGTACGGTGTGCTGTCGATGAGCACAATGCAGTTCTTCACCAGGGCCTTGGTGCGGACCAGCTCGTCATTGGATGAATTGTAGACAACGTTAATGATCCTTGTTTTGCAAGTACAGCACTCAGAGCCCCAGGAAAAATTTCCTGCGTCCAGTCTTAGGGCACGGTACTTCTTATTGCCTCCTCGAACTCGGACTGCGTGTATACGACGAGGGCCAATCTTAGTGTTGGCAGCAGGCCGTCCCAGCTCACACTTCCGCTTCTCGTGGTAGGGCTTTCTCTTACCCCCGGTCTTGCGGCGCTTGTGCCAGTTGTCCAGAGAGATGCCCATCGCTCGGCGCTAGCTGGAAAGACCTCCCCCTTCTCTTAAAGATTAAGATACAAATATATACATTTTCCCGGAAACATTTTACAGAAGTTACAGATTCCAGAAGGCAACTATTCAAAATTAGGACATCCCTCTGTATAACTAATAAAATTGTTATTCATAAAAGTTAATAATTCCATAACGACTATTATCCAGGTCATCAAATTTCTCCAACTTAATTTCCTGATCTCAGGTCCAATAAAATCTTAATGTCTTGCACTTGGATGTTAGGTTTCATTAATTTCTTTTTCTTTTTTGAAATACTGTTCTGTTGCCAAGGCTTGCTTCAAATTTATGGTCCTCCTGCCTCAGGCTCCTAGATCTGGGGCTGCGTGCATGTGCTTACCTCCTCCCATTTGTTCATATGTTTATTTGATGGAATAGGGCTTACCATGCAGGGCAGGCCAACCTTCAGTTCATAGCCTCTGCTGTGTGCTGGAATTACAGGTGTGTACTTCCCTGATTAACTTTTTTTCCTTCCTCCTTCTCCTCCCCACTGGGGAATGAACTCAAGAGTCTTGTGCATGCTACGCAGGCGCCCTACCACCAAGCTTTGGGGCCACATCTGTGGCCAGTGCCTGTGGAGGCCAGAAGAGGGTGTCAGATGCCGTGGAACTGGAATTACAGATGGATGTGAGCAGCCTTGTGAGTGCTGGGAACAGAACCCTGGGGCCCCTGGAAGAACAGCAAGTGCTCTTAGCTTCTGAGACACCCCCCTAGCCCTGCTTCCTTCCTTCCTTCCTTCCTTTCTTCCTTCCTTCCTTCCTCCCTCCCTCCATCCCTCCCTCCCTCCCTCCTCTCTCTCTCTCTCTCTCTCTCTCTCTCTGTCTCATTATGTGGTCAGGCTGGCCTTGAATTTACAGCAATCCTAACTCTGCTTCTTTTTGTTTTTTGAGACGGCATCTCACTATGCAGCTCTGGCTGACCTGGAACTCACTATGTAGACCAGGCTGGCCTTGAACTCACAGAGATCCTCCTACTTTTACCTCCTTCTTGTAGGATCAAAGGTGTGTGCCACCATGCCCAGCTGGGTTTCTCTAATGTATGAAAGCATTTTCTTGAGGCTACCATGGTGGTAAAAAACTTTAATTCCAGCTTTAGGAGGCAGAGGCTGGTGGATTGTTGTGAGTTCCATGCCAGTTAGAGCTACACAGTGAGACCCAAAATACTGTCTTAAAAAGAAAGAAAGAAAGAAAGAAAGAAAGAAAGAAAGAAAGAAAGAAAGAAAGAGGCACAACACACTTTGTTGGGCTAGAAAGATGGGCATCCTCTTCCAGAGGACTGGAATTTCCTAACTCTAGCTCCAGGGATCCAATACTCTTTTCTGACCTCTTAGGGCGTGTTCAGACACTCACACAAGAACACAAACATATAAATAAAAAATAATAGTAAATCTTCAAAACCAAGAAAACCCAAAACACACTTTCTCTTGTAGTTAGTAGCACCTGGAAACAAACTTCAAAAATCACACGATAGTTCTTCCTGCTATGTGTGACAGCATGAAGCTTCCTTACTTAATTAGATGTTATCCCAAATCGAACTAGATTTTAGTACTGGAAATAATAAGGATGGTAACTTCAAAAAAGAAATGGGCATGCTAGAGAGATGCCTCAGCGGGTGGGTGAGAGAGATTCCCAGCATCCACACTGGGAAACCCACAGCTACCTCTAACTCCAGCTGCAGGGGATCTGATGCCCTCTTCTTGCCTCCATGAGCACACAAATACACGAGGCATACACTTACACACACACACACACACACACACACACACACACACACACACACACACACACACAAATAAAAAAGAAAATAATCTTGGAGAAAAAACTGGGGTGTAGGGGTGCAGGCAGGAGGACTTTGAGTTTGAGACCAACCTGGAGTGTTCAAGATGAGCCTGAGCTACGACGTACTGAGATTACTTCAGAAATATATAATACTCAGCAGCCCAACATTGGCAGACACACAGCAGCTTTCCATTGTGAAGCAATACAGAGAGTTGATAAATGTGACTGAGAACCAAGCGCTGTGAGTCGGGCCATGGAAAGCAGAGCCTCGAGAGGAAGGCAGATTTGGTTTGGGCTTTGTTGAGATAGGATTTTGGCAAAAGCAACTAAGAAAAAGGAGTGGGAGGTCAAAAAAGAGGAGTGGGCAGGCTTTCACTTAGTATGGCCAAAATTTGAGAAAGACATCCTATAACTTCACTTGAGGCTTTGGAGTACTGGTCTTTGAGAAAAGTATCCAAGGCAGTGTGGTTTCCTTCCTGTTGCCAAGGGCATGAAGATGAACAGCAAACTGTTTCTTGTGTTTCAGAAATCTCACAGAAAATCAAGCATTTGCCTGAAATGGTTTTGTTAAGCTAGTTTAAATTTTCTTCAGAGAGAGAGAGAGAGAGAGAGAGAGAGAGAGAGAGCGCAAACAAATGTGGATGTTGGTTCCTTCCTTCCACCATATGGACCTGACTGAGGCTCTTCACAGGCTGTCAGCCTTCATTGTGAGGGTCTTTACTTGCTGAGCCATCTTGCCTATCCTGGCAAACTTTTTTTTTTACCCTCTTCTGGGGAGGTCAGTTGGTAGAATGTTCTTGCCTAGCATGAGTAAGGCCCTGGACTCAACCCCAGCACTGTATAAACTGGGTGTGGTGGTACTATGGAGAGCCCAGTAGAAAAGTGCTTGCCTCAAAATTGTGAATACCAGATTTTGGTTCCTGTGAACCCACATAAGGCCAATGTGGTAGCTCATGTCTGTCATCCTGTTGCATAGATATTCACCTGTGAGCTGTGGCTCACACCTTTAATCCCAGGCATCCTCAGGAGGCAGAGGCAGGCAGAACTTTGTGAGTTCCAAGACAACCTGGTCAACATAGTTCCAGGACTCCAAGACATAATGATAATGTGTCTCTAGAGACAAAACAAAAACAAAGAAAGAACAAAATTCAAGATTATCCTTGGCTACATAGCAAGTTCTGCTTAAAAAGAAAAGGCATGTGGTGAAAAAAACCTCACAAGTGGGCTGGAGAGATGGGTCAGAGGTTAAGAGCACTGACTGACTGCTCTTCCAAGGTCCTGAGTTCAATTCCCAGCAACCACATGGTGGCTCACAACCATCTATAATGAGATCTGGTGCCCTCTTCTGGTGTGCAGATATACATGGAAGCAGAATGTTGCATGCATAATAAAATAAATAAAATCTTTAAACAAAACAAAACAAAACAAACAACAAAAAACCCTCACAAGTATATACACTAGGAAAGATGGAGCCATACCTGCCTCCACAGCATTCCTTACACCTATTACACCCTTCTCACTGGAATAACCCAAGTGATTGGTACATTTAGTGCCATACTTTGCTGCACACATGCATAACTACTATCTAAAACCAAGTGTGATTGCTTTATAATTCAACCATTCCTGTCATGATAGATGTTTAGACTGCTTCCAGTTCACCCTGTTATGAAATGTTTCCGTGAATATCATTTCATATGTATCCTGCCCAATTGCCTTGCTTTGTTCTTTTAAAAATACTTATTTTATCTGGGTGGTGGTGGTGGTGGCGGCCGCCGGGCGCATGCCTTTAATCCCAGCACTTAGGAGGCAGAAGCAGGTGGATCTCTGTGAGTTCAAGGCCAGGCTGGCCTACAGAGTGTGTGCCAGTACAGACAGGGCTACACAGAGAAACCCTGTCTCACAAAAACAAACTTTTTAAAGATTTATTTATTTTATTTTACATGTTTTGTTTGCATGTATGCCTGTAGAATACATGTGTGCCTGGTACCCAGGGAGGTCAAAAGAGGATGTTGCCAGGTGTTGGTGGTGCATGCCTTTAATCCTAGCACTCGGGAGGCAGAGGCAGGTGGATCTCTGTGAGTTCGAGGCCAGCCTGGTCTCCAGAGCGAGTGCCAGGATAGGCTCCAAAGCTACACAGAGAAACCCTGTCTCGCAAAACCAAAAAAAAAAAAAAAAAAAAAAAAAAAAAAAAAAAGGATATCAATCTCAGGGTACTGGAGTTACAGGTGACATTGAGCTGCCTGACATGGTACTGGGAACTGAACTTGGGTCCTCTAGAAGAGCTGCCCGTGCTTTTAACTGCTGAATCATTTCTCTAGCTCCAAATCCAGATTTTTGATTTGGGGGCTGTAAATTTGAATTCACAGGTTTGCACAGCAAGTGGTCTTACTGGCTGGGTTATCTCCCCAGCTCCTGCCTTTTCTTTTGAGGGTATTATAAATTAATATGTTCCTTTATTATATGGAAAAATAATTACCAAGTGTATGAATATGATGGGGGTGGTAGTGTTTGTGTTTGAGACAGGATCTCACAGTGTAGCTTTAGCTGGCTCGGAATTTGCTATGTAGACTCCCTGAGATTTTCCTGCCTCCCCGATGCTGGGATTAAAGGTGCGTGCTACCATGCCAGACATGAATTCAGTTTTGTAGGAAAAACAAAACAAAACAAAAAAACCTTTCAGAAAATCAGAGGAACAAAAGGCGTGCCTACTCCCGAAGGAAATACTGCTTTGTTTTCTCTGTCCTTCCATGCTTTGCCCTGTGGTGCTGCGGTGGAAAAACAGAAAGGGCCTTGGCAGGCTACAGTTTTGTGTCTTTGCACCTTCCTAGCTACAGTCTCCCCACACCGCTGAGAAAGCATGTTCTGTTTCCCCTCTGTTATTCGGTGGTCCTAGCTCCCTTTACTCGCCTCCTGCCTGTCAAGTGAAGGAAATAACCTCCAGAAAGTGAAGTAAGATCACACTAGTAAGAAACACACAGGGCCTCCTGGATACATAAAAAAATAGGTGTTCTCAAGGAAGGTTGAATTCGAAGCCTAGCCCTGCAGGATTCCCAGCCACCAAAGGTAGGAAAACATCGCCCCCTAGAGGCCAGCCTGGTCATCTTCAACGGTGAGCAGGATCTCTGGGGTCCAGTAACCCGGACTGCCTCTCACCCAGGAAGACACTGTATCATCAGTGGGATTTTAGGAAGCAAGTAGGTTTCCTTTACATTGTGGGGGAGATACAGAATTGCACAAATGCAATTTATTTGGGGCCTTAGCAACAAAAGTGTGGCCCAGAACCAGGAAGACCAACTGTATCTCCACAGTTTGAGTCTGAAGGAGAGGCTTTTTTTAGTGGGTTAGGAGAAAAGGAATTTCATCCTAGTATGGACCTGGTTATCTTAAGCTACTATCAAAGAGTCAGGAGCATTTCTGGGCCAGGTGTGGCTGCACAGTTCCACACGCCACTCCAGGGCTCTGTGGTTTAGCGTTTGCTTGGAAACTCCCCAGACTAGCTCTGGGGTGAGTATGTATGGTAGCTAGGGTTCAGAGGGCTGCAATCCCCAGCCACCAGGGAGGCTGGGAGGCTGGGGCAGGAGGATGGTGAGTTTGAAGTTAAGCCGGACTATGAACAGAGGCACTCAAATAAAAAGAAGGAAGAAAGGAAGGGAAGGAAGGAGCTAGAGATAGGAAATGGAGAGGCGAGAAGAAGCAGGGTTCCGTGGGAATTACTAGGAAAGGACTTACAACTTCCCCTTCCTAGTACTTCAGAACCCCAGAGAACAGAGGCTGAAGAGACCAGGCTCCCACTGCTAGAGCCTGCTAGAGCCAGGGGGACCAAGGACCTTTATCTTTCACACCTCCTTGGTCAGCCGCTTCCTGCAGCAGTCCAGAAGAATCCTGAGGGTGGAAGTGCTGAGAAGAAATGACTGCTGCGTGCTCAGGCTATCACCCCCCCACACACACACACACACAGAGACACACACACACAGAGAACACACACACAGACACACACACCCCCACACACACACCTACACACACACAGACACACACAGAGAACCTCCCCCCCACACCTACACAGAGAGAGACACACACACACACAGAGACACACCCCCACACACAGACACACACACCTACACAGACACACACACACAAAGACACACACAGAGAGACACACACACATACCCACACCCACACACACCTACAAACACACAGACACACACTCCCACATCACAGACTCCGGGTGCACTGAGGGAGAGGGTCAGGAAAAAAATAAGAGGATGTGTGTGTGTGTGTGGTGGCGCACACCTTTAATCCCAACTCTGAGGAGTCAGAGGCAGGCAGGTCTCTGTGAGTTTGGGGCCAGCCTGGTCTACAAAGCAAGTGCCAGGACAGTTCCAAAGCAACACAGAGAAACCCTGTCTCAAAAAACGAAAATCAAAAAGCAAACAAAAAAGAAGAAAGAAAAGAAAAAAAGACAAGCCCAAGGTTTTGAAAGTTTATTAGATCCCAAATACTTTTTTAAAAGATTTTATTTATTTATTTTGTATACAACATTCTGCTTCCATGTATATCTGCACACCAGAAAAGGGCACCAGATCTCATTATAGCGATCCCAAATACTTTTTATTTTTGCTTCTGCTCAAGACAGCCTCTTTTGTGAGTCTAAGTTAGTCTTGAATTTGTAGTAATCCTCCTGCCTCAGCCTACTAAATCCTGGGATTACAGGAATGAGCCATTATCCCCGTCTTGTTTTTTTTTTTCTTCGAGACAGGGTTTCCCTGTGTAACTTTGGAGGCTGTCCTGGAACTAGCTCTTGTAGATCAGGCTGGTCTCAAACCCACAGAGACCCACCTGCCTCTGCCTCCTGAAACGCCTGGCCCCATCTTGTATATTTTATCAATAGACATTCCCCAAATTATAACAGACCCAGGTTTAATACTAGCACTTAGGAGGGTGAGGTCAGCCTGGGTTACATAGTTTCCATCCCAATTCAAACAAACAAGAAACACATACACCACCTCCAATAACAACAACAACAAAAACTGAGAACATTTTTGTAGGCTGGGTATGGAAGCTTACACCTGTAATTCCGGCATTTGGGAGGCAGAGACAGGAGGATTATGGTGAGTTAAAGTCCAACCTGGATTACATAGTCAGTTTCAGGCCCCCCAGGACTACATAGCAAGACAGGGTGTCTCTGCGTAGCCCTAGCTGTCCAGGAAGTCACTCTGTAGACCCGGCTGGCCTTGACCTCACAGAGATTTTCTTGCCTCTGCCTCCTCAGTGCTGGGGTTTAAAGGCGTGTGCCACCACTGCCTGGCTTCTTGGACTACATTTTGGCAAATGCTGTTGAAAAAAAAAAATAAGGAAAGAACGACCTTGGAATCAGAAACTAGACTTTTTCACATCTGGCTCTTCCACAGTTAAGTATCACTTTACTCAAGATACATTTATTTTCTCTGTTTCCTCACCTGTAGAATGGACATTAGTAATTCCTACCTAACACAATTATAGCTAGAAGACTGACTATAATTTTTTTTTTTTTTTATTTTCCAAGACAGGGTTTCTCTGTGTAGCTTTGCACATTACGCTGGCCTGGAACTCAGAGATCCTCCTGCCTCTGCCTCCTGAGTGCTGGAATCAAAGGCGTGCGCCACCACAGCCTGGCTCCTGATGGTACTCTGTAAAATGCCTGGAATGTGGTAAAGCTTACAAAATATCTGGCTAGGGGGATGATCGTGTTATTACTGTGAGGTAGGAGTAAGGTCTGAGGTCAGACAGCTACAGAAGCCTCCAGAGGAATAGGGTGAATGAGACAGAAGCAGGCCTGTGTTTTAGAAATGCTGCCAATGGAATATAAACATGCTCATCATTGAAAAACTGGAAAACATTATTTTCTCTAGATGACTGAGGTCATTCTGCACGTACAGTTTGTAATCTGTGTCACTTAATGGTAATATTACGAGCACTTCCCTACATTATTCAATTTTCTTTGGCGACATTGACTTTAATGGCTGCTTAAAACTTCACTGCATGGATGATTTATTCTCTCCATTCTCTAACTTGCTTTGTGGCTTTTTAAAAAAGCCTTTAATGAAGGCCTGGAGGGATGGCTCAGTGGGTAAGAGCACTTTTGCTCTTCCAGAGGTCTTGAGTTCAATTTCCAGCACCCACATGGTGGCTCACAGCCATCTGTAAATGTAGTCCCATGAGATCCAGTGCCCTCTTCTGGTGTGCAGGTGTACATGCAGACAAAACCTCCACATACGTAAGTAAAGCCCTCATTACGCATTTCTCTTGGTTAATCTTCCATGCTAGTGTGTGAAGACCTCTAAGGCTACCTTTCTAGAAGTACATTATAGAGGATATGTGCAGGTGGAGTTTCTCTGTCTCAACAGTCACTCCCAAATAACCATTCAGAAACTTATTATAAATGCTTGGCTGATAGCTTGTCTTCAGCCAGCTCTTACAACTTAAATTAATATTTCTGTTCATCTATGTACTACTCCAGGGCTTGTTTACCTTCTCTATGAACTTTCCATGTTGCTTCTTTCATGTCTGGCTCGAGACCCTCTGCTCTGACTCTGCCCTTCTCCTTCCCAGCATTCTCTCTGCCCCCCCAATCCTGCCTAGCTATCAGCCAATCAGCTTTGTAGTAACAGTGAGAGAAACACATTTTCACAGTGTACAAAAGGATTATTCCATAGCCTATATGTGTGGTGGTTTAGATAAGATTTAGATAGGCTCATATATTTGAATAATCACCAGGGAGTGGAACTATTTAGAAGAATGAGAAGGACTAGGAGGTGTGGCCTTGTTGGAGGGAGTGTGTCACTGGGGGGTGGGATTAGAAGTTTCCAAAAGCTCACACCAGCCCCAGGGTCTCTCAGCTGCTGCTCGAGCCCCATGTGTGTCACTGTGTCCTCCCCACCATGCTGATAGAAAACTAAGCCTCTAAAGCTGTAAGCCAGCCCCCAATTAAATGCTTTCTTTCATAAGTTTCCTGGACCATAGTGTCTTTTCACAGCAATACAACAGTAACTAAGACAATATATCTTTTTTTTTATGTTTTCGGTTGTGAGCCTAGCCTTTAACGGCTGAGCCTTCTCTCAAGCTCAATATATCTTTTTTTTAAAGTGTATTTATTTACTTTTTAATTATGTGTATGTGTATGTGTCCTGGAGGGATGTGCACATAGTTGCAGGTGTTTAAGTGGCATCAGATTCCTTGAAGCTGGAGTTACAGGTGGTTTTGAGCCACCTGACATGGGTGCTCGGAATTGAACTCAGCTCCTCTGCAAGATGCTCTTAACCACCGAGCCATCTCTCCAGCCTCTGACAATATATCTTTTATTGGTCACATCCAAAATATTTTATTATAAAACATGGTACAGGCTGATAGATGATTTTTCAACATTGTTGGGCATATATATTGTTGAGCAATGCATTGTCACAAGGATGTGACTTTAGTGAGAGTTTCAGTCACCTTGGACTTACAGCCCTGGATGCTCTGGAAATTGATATGTAGGTTAGCCTGTCCTGGAACTTACAGAGATCCACATGCCTGTGCCTCGTGAGTGCTGGGCTTGAGGGCATGGGCCACCACACTTGACCAGATGATCTGTCTTTTTTGTTTTTGTTTTCCAGACAGGGTTTCTCTGTGTAGCCCTGGCTGTCTTGGAACTCACTCTGTAGGCCAGAGCTGGCCTCAAACTCACAAAGATCCACCTGCCTCTGCCTCCCATGTGCTGGGACTAACGGTGTGTGCCACCACAGTCTGGCCTAGGATGATGTGTCTTAATGTTAAGATAAAAGGCTCTGGAGTCATTTGACCTTGGTCAGCAGCGGCTTAACCTTCTAGACATTGTTTCCTTCACTCTTGTGGGAAGAATGAATACTTCCTATGTCACAGGATTCTTGTGAATGTGCAAATATTTTCATAGAACTTGCACACAAAAACAGCTTAGAGCTGGTGTGGTACCTCAAACTTGAGATTCCAACATGCTGGAGGATGAGGCATGAGCATATCTAAGAGTTGGAGCCCTCCAGTCTCAAAAACCAAAGCAAACCAAAACTCAACACTTAATAAATACAATTTATTTATTTAGGTTTTTCAAGACAGGGTTTCTCTGTCTTGAAACAACCCTGGCTGTCCTGGAACTCTCTTTGTAGATTAAGCTGGCCTCAAACTCACAGAGATCCACCTGCCTCTTTCTCCTGAATGCTGGAATTAAAGGTGGTCAATATCACCAGGCTGACTTGTTATTCTTATCATATTTCAAAGCATTTGTGTGTCTGTGTCTGAGTGCTCAGTCACATGTGTGGAGGTCAGAGGACAACTTGTTGATTCTCCCCTACTTGGGATCAAACTCATGTTCTCATTCTTTTTTTTTTTTTTTTTTTTTTTTTGAGACAGGGTTTCTCTGTGGCTTTGGAGGCTGTCCTGGAACTAGCTCTTGTAGACCAGGCTGGTCTCGAACTCACAGAGATCCGCCTGCCTCTGCCTCCCGAGTGCTGGGATTAAAGGCGAGAGCCACCACTGCCCGGCTCATGTCCTCATTCTTGAGTGGCAAAACCTTTAAAAATAAATCAGCTAACAAAAGGCTCCCTTAGAATTGTGATTGAAGGCTGAGGAGCTGGCTGTCCTGCAGATGTAAGGGGCAGAGTTCAGATCCTCACCCACACAGAATCTGGGGGTATGGCAGCCTGCCTGTGACCCTAGCACTCTGCAGGCAGAGACAGGAAATCCTTCAACAACCTCACTCAAGCAAAAATCTGTGCCTCAATACATACAGTGGAGAGTTACTGAGGAAGACACCCCACACCAGCCCCTGGTCTCCACACACACATGTGTGCCAATACACAGGTGAATATACACAACACCCTGTTTTTTTTTTTTTGTTGTTGTTTTTGAGGCAATATTTCATGTATCCCAGGCTGCTCTCAAATTTGCTTTGCAGTGGAGAATGACTTTGAACTCCTGATCCCCTTGCCTCTGCCTCCTGAGTGTTGAGGTTGCTGTACCTGCCACCATGCTCTGTTTATGGTGTGCTAGGAGCAGAGGCTGAGTCTTTGTTCATGCTAGGGCTCTCTACCAACTGAGCTACAGCCCTGGCCTCTTGCCATCATGTAGAAACGTGTGTGTGTGTGTGTGTGTGTGTGTGTGTGTGTGTGTGTGTGTGTGAGATGCAGGGTGGCAGGGTTTCATACTGTAGCCCAGGGTGGCCTTAAACTCAAGGCAACTCCCCTGCCTTAGCCTCCTGAGTCCCTTCCCAGTGCCAGGTCTCAACAAGAATATATATGTATTATATCATATCCTAATACCAAATTTTGTATTAATTTTTGGGATAAGCACTATTTGGCTGTATTATATAATCACTACAGCAATATATTGATTTTAGTAATTCTAAATAACTCCGGAGTTTTATGTCCATAAGATAGAAGTGGTCTAGAGCCGTCTTGGGTGCCCGCCTTTGACAGTTTTTGATACTGGGTATGTTTTTGCTTCATACATAAATTGGGCAGCTTTCTATCTTTTTCTATGTTTAGAACAGTCCCTGCTTCCTATTTGTCATGGCAGATTAATAGTGTATAATAGAGATGACAAGGAAGAAAATGCAAATCGGCACAGATTATTTTGCCTCAGTAACCCTGCCACTTTCATAGTCAGAGGAAAGCTCTGATTGTAAAGAAGCAATTTGGAGCAGTGGGAGGGTCAAGCCGGCCGTTGTGTAGGTGTTGAAGAGGGCTGCTGACCAAGCTGGTGCAGGGGTGAGCGAAGGCGGGGTGGTTGCAGAGATGAGTAAAGGAGGGTCTCAGGAAGGCCAGCACAACCAATAAGACTGACAGGAGGTGTTTAAACAAAGACAGAAACTCAGCCAAATAAAGCTGAGCCTGAAGACAGGGAATAACTAGCAGCAGGGAGAGCATTATCTGGGAGTGAGCATCTCTCCCTCCCCTCCCCTTCCCAAAAGTCTCTAATGCTCTGCTCCATTGTCATTAATGTCTACCAGAAAAGTAAGTTTATTTATTATTATTTACATGTATTTATTTGCTTATTTATTGGTTTTTCAAGATAGTGTTTCTCTGTGTTTCCCTGGCTGCCCTGAAACTGTAGACCAGGCTGGCCTCGCCCACTGCACCCTTATTTCTTACCTAGACTATTTGGTCTTCTTCCATGCCTGTCTTCATCCCAGCAAAGCCCCCGTCCTGTTGTACAGCTGAGATCTGTAGCTTTTGAGGTCAGAGGACGACTTTTGGGAGTCTGTTCTTCCTCTTTAGTAAGGTTCTGGGTCACCAGGCTTGTGTGGTGAGTGAGTGCTTTACCCACAGAGCATTTCACTGACCTGAACTCTCTATTCTTTTTCTCTCAGTCTTTCCCTTCTTGCTATACACAAACCTGTAGTTACATGCTTTTCCCCCTTCCAAGTGACACAGGAAAAGGATGTGGGAGACAGCAGGAGTAGTGTGTGACAGAATTCCCAGGAACTGCTTGGCATCATACCCAGTAGGTGGCCAAAGCCAGTTTTAACGAAGAACAAAGACAACATAGAGGGAAGAAATCCAGCCCGATGCATCGTGTGTGTGTGTGTGTGTGTGTGTGTGTGTGTGTGTGTGTGTGTGTGTGTGTGTGTGCGCGCAAATCTTTTAAAATTTGAATTAGAAATAAGATTGTTTTACATGACAATCCCAGTTTCCTCTCCCTCCTGTCCTCCCCTACCACCCCCACCAACTAAAACCCTACCTATCACATATCCCTTCCTTAACAGTGTTTTTATCTCGTGGATTGTGGGCAGATTCACTTCCCACAGACATCCACTGGAAAGATCTGCAGGGAGAATTGTAAATAAATTCTGCCCCCTACAGGAGAGGCCCTGTAGTTCTCCAATCCCGTGGCGTGGGCAGGGCGGTGCAGAGTGGAATCCTTCCAAAAAGTATAGCATGGAAAATTGTCATCGGTGGAGCCACTTGCTCTTGTAGACCAGGCTGGTCTCAAACTCACAGATATCCCACTGCCTCTGCCTCCCGAGTGCTGGGATTAAAGGCATGTGTCACCAGCGCCCTGCTTTCTTTCCCAGTTTAATCAAAAGAAAAACATGAGACAAGTTCCAACAGAAGGGCATTTTAACATCATCAGAAGTAACAATCATTAGGAACAAAGAACATCTGAGAGATAGTCACAGTCAACTGGAGCCTAAGGACACATTCGACTAAATGTGATGTGGTATCCTGCATAAGATCCCAGAGAAGCAAGCCGGGCGTTGGTGGTGCATGCCTTTAATCCCAGCACTCGGTTGGCAGAGGCAGGGGGGTCTCTGTGGGTTTTAGGCCCGCCCGGGGCCCAGAGCGAGGGGCC